TGACTTTCATGTATTTGTGCTTTTTAAAAATTTTGTATACAGGAGGGTAAGGATAAAAAGTTCCTCATCTCCAAACTGCAAGAGATGTATGAAAAAAATGGTGTGGTTTCTCCTCATAGATAAGGTGGGTATTTACACTACACATCTTCATTATGGTTCCAGTTGAGTCTTTTTTTTTTTTTTTTTTTAATTCTTTGCTTTGATTATGTCATTTCTGAACCAGAAACACCTGTTTGTCTTTCATAGCTTGCTTTTTTTTTTCCTGTTAATTTTCCACAGTCGGTGGCTGAGCAGCGTTGACAGATATAGCATCTGGAAGATAATATCTCACACTGACAAATATCTTAGCCCTGATGTAACGTCAACAATGCTGAGAAGGTTGTCAGCATCATCAGGAATGTCACAAACAAGCCACAAAGAGAACAAACATCAAAGCAAAATTACTAACTATAAAAATTTGTTCAGTTCAAATATACTCATACTCATAATTTTTTGTGATTTTCTTGTACTGGACTAAAATCACTCACTGTTTGCACCATAACAGGGCCACTGGTATTTATTTATAGGTAGAATTCCTACTGTATGTCAGGGTGTTTGTTTGTTTGTTTTTTTAAATATATATATACTGTATGTATTTGTAGTTATTTTTTCATTTTGTTAAAACTGATAAAAAATGAACTTGAATGTATCGTATGAAAAGACAAAATAAAACTTGTTGGAGCACATCTTATCAGAATGAGGAACCCTTTATCTTCAGCAAACACGGATTGTTTTCATCTGCTTTGCCCAAACATTGCAAAGATTCCTCTGTCATTTGTTGGAAAACTTACAATGAATTATCACCTCATTGTTTACTGCTGTTAAAGACTTAATTGTTTGCACTATGTAGAGGGCTGGAGGTCAACAGAGACTGAAATTGTGCCTTCAGAGCATCACCAACAGAATTCTTAGAAACACATACAACATGACAGAGTAAATTGCCTACAGACAAAAAGAAAAGGTCAATACAGTGATGTATTACCATCACATATTGTTCTGGAAATGCTTCAGTGGTATTATCTTAAAAACATGCCTAGATGTATCTGTATCTATATATTGTATACTGTAATATGTTATTATTATCATTATTGTTATTGTTGCTGTTGTTTCTAATTTTGAATGATTTTGATTTTGAATTTGAATACTGAAGGCTGATTTTGATTTTGAATTTTGAATGCTGTTGTTGCTGATTTTATGTTGGTGTTGTGTTGTGTTTTTCTGGTATAGCAATTTCCCTGAGGTCTTGTACCAAAGGGATTAAGAAAGTTTTATTGTAATTCTAATTCTAGATTTCAAAATGAAAACATTACGAGGAATGTTTAATTAGTTTTCTTCATAAAGCATAGACTTGCACACATAAATTAAATACATAAAATTAAAAAAAAAACAAACAAATCAATACAGTTAAAGCTGCTGACAACTAACAAAAACTAAGCTCCAAAGACGGCATGTAGCTACAACACCTGTGTACAACCATGCAATGTCACACACAGAGGATTGTGTTAATTTGCATACTACTGCATAACCGAGCTTCTCAGTAATGTCAGTCATCCCTTAAAACCATGTTATGACACCCCCTCACCCCCTCAAAGGCTACTTAACAAGTTTGGTAGCTTTTTGACCAGTCAAACTTCTCACTGCAAACTTGACAAAAATGAAAGAATGAAAGGAGGTGGAGATTTCCTTGTAATGAGGAATTTATATGAAGCAGCTCCACTGCAGGTTGCTCTGTACTTTGAATTGGTCTGCACGAAAAGCAGGCTGGTCTCACATCAACATGTCAGTCACAACCTCTGGTAAGTAAAAGCTTTGTTGATTTCATCTGCGACTACGTCAGACTGATCATTCTACATATGGCAAATGTGTTATAATTTGAATTTTTACAACTTGCACTGAGTTTAAAAAAAAAATTCCAAATCATCTTTCTCACCCCCAGATAATATGGCAGTGAAGAAAGCATCTAAAAAGAGAGTGTTCATCAGTCTTCCAAAGAAATATATGGCGGATTTGGCTCAAACTTATGAACTGGTAAACAATTTATTTCATTCCTATATTTAGAAGCTACATCACATAATTTTATCTTATTGACCAAAACTGAAATGTTTCTTTGTGTTGCAATGCTGACAGTGTTGTGCTTTTTATCAGGACCATGGATTGGTAGTAAGAGACCTAAATCCGTACTTAAATGAAGGATATATACAGGCTTACTTCAGAGAATGGGGCACCGTCACATCATGCAAGGTAAACACTTAAATATACTGCTTTAGTAGTGCCTTGGTTCTTGTATTTTGGTGTAAATAATACAGACAAAGGGTGATTTCTAGTCCAATTAAACAAGTTTCCTTTTGTGTATTTAAATTCCAGATTAAGAAGAACCCCAACTCTGGGAAAGATAAGGCGGTGGCCTTCGTGAGGTTTTCTGCAGAGGATGAAGCAGACAGAGCAGACTGGGCTGGCCCTCATTATATTGGAGGCACAGAAGTGACAGTGAAGCGATTTGTTAGTCCAAAGGTGGGTTGAGGCTTGCGTTAAACTGTTGTCATGCTCGCCATAAAATTAGAAAACTTCAGCTTATAGAAAGAAATATTGATGAGCTGTATTTGATTCTTAAAGTACGCATTTGCTCTCTGCTCCTAAAATCTGTCTGTCAGACTGACGAGGACTCAGAGGAGGAGGCCGTCACAGTCTCTGCTAAACCTCCACCACGCCGTTCGATGGGTCTGGGCTACATACTTGAGGATGCTCAGTGGTTAGAAGATGATTCAAACCAATAAAGAATTCAATCTCTTTTTTTTTTCAGAAGAGTGCATATTTTGTAAAGATAGTTTGACCAGTTTGAGAGTATCCAAGGTATCCTACATAAGAACATACTGGCTGATGCACATGTTTTAAAATATTGTTTACTGTATAGCACATAGTATGCTTTTGTTGTATTTTATGGAAGTTTTCTTTTTAAGGGAAAAAATAAGGTTGTCGTCTAATTTGTCAAGGATGTGGGGTGTTGTCAAAACATACATACACATTTGGCTCGTCTCCCTTTGTGCAGCCAACGTTGTCTATGCAACATGACTTGTCCTTTTAAAAAAATCACGACACAACGCAAAATTTTGTAACCTACTAGCTCACGTTATTGTTTTGTTTTGTTTTTTTTTTAAATAAAAAAAATTAATGGTTTTGACATATCCACTGTTGTTTTTACTGTTGTGGCTCTCTTGTGCCAACTTGTTGAAAAAACACCAAGTGAAGGTGAATTATTTAAATATGGTGTATGTATGGGAATGAATTTAAAACAAAGAGGGAAACAATCATACGCTGTTCATTATTTCAATTTTATCTAACGGACACGAACTATAAAATAAAATTACATTGTATTGTAAAATGTTTGATTTGTATTACATATATTTTAATTGCTATGAAAAGATCAACCTTTGTTTACGTACGTAGGGTGGTGCGTATTACGTCAGCGTCCAAGAACCAATCCTGCGTAGAGCGCCAAGTTCCTCTCCACAGCGTCCAAACATGGCGGAGAAGGACGAAGAAATTTGCTTTAAAAAGGTAAGAAGCAGGAATGCCGCTGCCTTAAGGGTGGCTCCTACTTAGTTTCCCTGTAGATAAATAAAAAACAACATTTATTCCTCTTTTTCTCGTGGCTTGCTGTATTTACTTCCAGCATACTCGCCCGCTCCGTTAACAGAGCATATGTATTCCTCTGTGTTGTCGAACGATTCGTACAACTTAACATCTCGTCAGAGTTTTCAGCTATTCAAAAACTGTAAAACTGTGTACGCCGAAAAGAGAAGCGGCTAATAATGACTTTAAAATGTCCTTTATAGTAGTCACTGATTCCTGACAAATGTCGGCGTTACACTACAGCTTCATAAATTGACATTTTTTGAATGTAGTTTGGTGGGACGCAGGAGAAGGAATGCCCAGGAAAGTTAGATAAGAGCTTTTACAAATGTAGATGAGGAGGTAAATTTTGCCACATCAGTACCATGTTAAGTATATTTAGTTTGCTTCATTGGTAAATACAAAAAGATCACAGTTAGTCAGATCCATGCATGGTAAACATACACTGTACATTATTATGTGCTCTGTCTGCAGGACACAATAAGCAAACTCTTGTCTAGTCTCTTCAAGGAAGATAAAACCAAACGTAAGTTGGATAAGTAAATAGTTTTGAGTACATTTCATTGTATTCGTGATTCTGTGGTTCAACATATCTACCTGTTTTCCAGTGAGTGGTGATGCTGTGCTGCTCATGGCTGAGATGCTAAAAGTATTTGTCCAAGGTAATGAGTTTTGATGCAGTTGTTCAGTGTGAGACACAGCAGCTGACCGCCTGCTTGTAAAACTCTTCATCTGTCGTCTCACTTCCAGAGGCTGCTGTGAGATCACAGAAACAAGCTGAATCTGAGGACTGTGACCAAGTAGATATTGAACATTTTGAAAAGATCCTACCACAGCTGGTGCGTAGTTTTAACAAAGTATAGCTCTGAATTAGAACAAACTGCACAATACACAGCCACAACTCTTGTTTTCAGTGAACATGGCTCAGGCCTAATTCCAACCACTTAGTCTGTGACATTCAGTACCGACTTCTAAAAGAATAAGTGAAATCTATTTTCCATAAGTTTAATAATCCAAATTGGTGAAACTGCTTGTATGTAGCTGTTTGCATAAAATGCTGGTTGCACATAAAAAGCCATTTTTACACAAGACAAATCTTACCTTTGCATCCAGTTTGGCATCATTATACAAAAACTTGAAGATTTAAAACTTTTTTTGTATAAATATTATCAGAGCTCTTTCAAATTAAATGTATTCATTTATTACGAAGAGTGTCTCCTTTCCAATATCTGACAGTCTCTGCATCTCTCCTCCTTTCCAGCTTCTGGACTTCTAGCACAAAGATGCCACAAGATGGAGCCACAGTGCTGCCAGCATGGGCCTGTTTCAAGCCTACACTCCCTACAGCCACACGTTTTGCTTTCCTGATGTTTATTTTGCTAGTATAACGACAGCTTCAGAATCACCCAAATGTGAGATAACATCAAGATTGTCATTGTGTTTATATTTCCGTTTTATGATTTTTAAGTAGAAAGCAGCAGTGCTGTCTGTACGCCACCACACCACCACCAGTAAGGGCCACCTGTGCTCCTCTGTGCAACAACAGGTGCTTCCAGCATGCTCCATGGTGCCCCTCATCAAAGCCTCCAGGAGCAGTTGGAAGCAATTAGAGTAATAAGGGGAGCAGCCAGTCCCTTAGATGATGACAAGTGCCAGGAAAAAACTAGTACCCCCTCCGGCCACTTTGAAGTTCCCTTTTGCTGTCCTGCGATGTTTAGTTAGAGGTGGGGGGAAGGGCAAAGGGGACCTCTGGCACAGGGGAAAGTTGAATGGGAGTGTGTGTGCACGTATGTGTGCATGTGTTAACTAAACATGGCCAGAGACCACACGCATAGATATTCTATTTGAAAGGAAACATAACAAAACACATTGGAACATGGTCCAAGAAGAGCAGGGTGTAATTCTAAAGGTAAATAAACAAAAGAGGCGAGTAGTAGAGGTGCTTTCTCTACTTTCATCACAGCAGAGGGGGACATTGGGCCTACAAGCGAGAGGGTAATGTGGGGTTTTCTAACCCAAGTGGCTCTGATGGTTTTCCACCAGTGGTGCATTTAACCAATGTGTCCTCACTATGAGTCAGCATAGCTGTATAACACCTCACACTATTTATTTGTGTGGCTCTTGGGTGACTCACTGTGCTTACGAACGCTGCTCACATACAGCTGGAAGCAACTTAGGCGAAAGTCAAGGATCCAGGCTCAAATAGGTGCTCAAGGACACAGCACCTGGAATTTGACCTAGCACTTTCTCAGTAAGGCCCAGGCAGGATTTGTGTTTCCCAGGGGTAGCTTCCAGAGCAGGCCTTTGGGAGGAAGTGTGTTTGGGTAAATAAGTGATGTTTGGGGTGGAAAACAACTTTTTCAGTAGTAAATGATTTACAAAATGTAATATTGCAGTTGTGTTTTCCTTCTTGTTAGCTAATATGAAAAGAAATAATCTGATTTTAAAAGTACAATTTACCCGTATTCATTACCACAGTAAGAAACTCATTAGTAAAAGTTGTAATTTCGTGCCGAGCTATCGTATTGTACAGGCTCTCTGGAGGTTTACTCAATTTGAAATGGATCTTTCCCAACTGTAATTCTTGCGTATGAAATAAAAACACTTATTTTCTTGGATCTCCCAATGATTTTTTTTTTTTCTTTTCCACAATATGAGTTGTTGGATGTCTGTACTGGCAGAGCAGTGCACTACTGTACAACTTTTCTCCTTATGCATCTTAGTGGAACAAATTACATCTGAAGGCAGTATTATTAAACATACGAAAGCAGTTAGGACAAGAATGGGGAGGGGCGTTGAAGAGAGTAATGAGTTAAAGCTTTTCTTGATCATACATTAAAGGCAGGGAGTGTCGACAGCCAGTCCAGACGCTTTGGAGAAGCTCCGGAGTGAGAAGCTGTTCCCAGGAGACAGAGACTGATCTGTCTCCAGCCTTCTGGCTGGTCTTTGGACAGCGCCACACATGAGATCAGGCCCTCAGTGATGCTTGAAGATTTATGCCTGATTGTAGCCATCAATATCAATACTGATTTTACGGGAGCGCCTGTGACTGCCAACATGATTCTTTATCTCTTAGTTGTACATTGAGTTAAATGTAGATACTAAAATAATAATAGTCAGTCTGTGTTAGTTACAAAAATGTTTGGGCAGTTATTTAAAAACAAAAGTAATAAAAGGGAAATGACAGTGACATCATCGAGATTAAATAAAATGAAGGATGTCTGGTTGTAGGAATATGTGACCTGTGCAGATGTAATGTACATTTTTTATGATATTAATATAAGCAGAGCTGTAAGTCTGCAAACATCTGATAAGTCTGTGTGGTAACAGTAATTATGATTCAGGATAATGTTTGTCTGGGGTGGAGTTGTCTGTATTGGTTTAAAGAGTCTCTGTGAGGGTATGTTAGGATTATGTCAGATTTCTCTCCTTAATGCTCCACTCACTAGTCTGTGGTTGTTTTTGCTTGTAGAATGACACAGCTTCTCCCATCTCTCCAACTTTCTGTCATCTCAGAGCTCCTTTCTTCTGAGGCCCAAACGAAAAATCTGTCTACGACAAGTCATCATAATACACCCATTTCCCTGACTGCTGGCCTTTCAGAGATGGCTCTAAGAACGTTCAGCAAGTCAATATCCAAAGTGTATGAGCTACATCAAAATTAAGGACGTAAAACATTCACTTTTTCCATGCATGTGTTATAACTGACAGACTTTGTGCTTTTGTTAAATCTGGTTAAACATTTAGTTACAGATTTTGAAAAAGTCTAATAAGATCTCATTCAAGGTGTTTTCATGTCAAAATTCTTCTAAAAACAGAAGAAGGTAGGAAACCATAATCCACAATGCAGTTACAGGTGTCAGAAGTGTTACTTTTATCGACGTGATTTTAACTGCACATTTGAAAGTATTTACGCAATAAATATGTGATGCTATGCGTCTGTTATTGGATGTTTGTGTGCATGTATATGCTGGCATGGATGTTGTGCTTCATCTGGGGCTGTAATGCATTAGTGATCAGGAGACAAGAGGCCCTTGTGGCCCCTTCATGGGCATGGAACTGTCTAACCATGGAGGAATGCTGAAAGGCACACGGAATGAGTGCATTCCTCTTAGATGCCCCATGCACAACTCTCACACACATGAAAAGTTACTATCATTTATAGTGCTGTCCAAACAACAAAACACAGTTGCAGGCATTTAGTGCGCATGCGTTTTACAGGATGCTTGCGTGTGTGGAGAGAATGCAAATACAGAGGCAGCATCTCTGTTGATTGTATACACTGCTGTGACATGCAGGTTTCTGGGAGGCCCCAGGCCTCTCCAAGGGGCCTGGGGTCCTTAGGCTAAGCTTTGTTAAGGAGCCACGAGGCCCATGCTGGGGATGATTAGAACATACCTGGCAGTTTGAGCCACTTGGGCGCTCTGCTGGGATCACTCCTAAATGGTTGTGGCGCTTGGCTGTTAGTCTGAGGCTGGAGATGGTCTGCTGCTGTGCTCTGTGTATCGGCTGGAGCTTTGGTAGCCACAGGGGGCGGAAAAGATTCTTCCGGAACCAGTGAGGTGGATGATAAGGTCAAAGACCTTGGCACGCAGCTGAAGAGGGAAAAGGGAGCAAGAGAGATGTACAATTAGGCCCACAGCTGGGTTATTTCTGGAGCACTGTACTACTACCTTAACTACATTACCCTCCTATTCCCCCCCAAGTCCCTGTACTCTCTGTCTCCACCTCCCTCCTCTGTGTGGTGGCCGACATGGTCAGGGGATAGGCAATAACAACAGAGTAATCCCCTTACATAACACTGCACAAACTCGACGAAACAAGACCATTTAATTAATTTAAGGGGGCATCTAAAAATAAAGATGCAGTTTGTCCGAGGTGACGTCAAAAGATGTGTGTGTGCGGGAGGTGGGCTCGTACCCCAAATGAGGTGCTGAGGGACCGGAGGTTAGCATTGCACTCTATTTTTAGGCCTCATCAAAGCAGTGATATAAAAATACTCTAGCACTGACCCTCGCAAGCTCTGTCAGTCATGCTTAGAGAAGCTGTAAACCTGAAGGTCATGCACTTGGAATGATGAAAGGGCTGATGTTTGATGATATTTAAAAAGAAGCCAAGTAATGACCGAAATCTCTTTAGCTGGTGGCAGGTGGCACAGTGTGATGTTCGTCTTTGTTAGACTTGTTAAAAGACTTCATCTGCAGGCATGTGAAGCCCTCAGCGACAGGCTAATATTCACTGCAACAAGACCATGTATATTGACAAGTGCCTGCTTGACTTTGATTTATATTTAAATGATGACAGTGATGTTGATTTTTTTAGCACCAGAAATGCTTTTCTTGCAAGTGTCTCTCAAAAATCTCAAGTCTTAAGGAAGCCAGCGTAAAAAAAAAAGTTGAGGGTGCATTGTCGTTTTTTGTTTTTTTTTGGATTCCGTCAAACAAATCTGTCTAAAGTTTCTTCCACAAGTCCAGAGACCAGCGTGTTGACTGTCTGTTCTCACAGTGGTTGGGGGCACCGGAACTCTAAATTAGCCCTGGTGAGTCAACAGGACAGCTTTCATGTAGACAAGGGCTCATGTCAGATTGCAGGAGAGGTCATGCTGTAAGGGTTAGAGGTCAGGATGCAGTGTTGGTCCTTGTCTTTAACAGCTTCCTCTCTGCTGTGTTGTGCAAACCTGAGCGGTAATCCCCTGTGATATAGGTTCAAAGTGAAGCGATTGGAACTCACCATTCCACTTCCATTCTTGGTCATATAGTTACCATAGATCCATTGATACTAAAGCCATGCTGAGTTGACCAAGACTACTTTGGTTTACTTTCTGCAATGAACAAAGCATGACTCTATGGAGGGCAACACCAGTCTATCAGCCTATTGGTTGGAAGGTCATCTGGTCATTCAACCTCTGAAGTATCTCATCAGCTAACAGATGGATTGTCAGGGAATTTCATATATACACAAATGTGGATTTTAATGACAGGTCCTAACAACTCCTTGATGGATTGCCATGAAGTTTGGCACAGATATCCATGTTACAGAGAGGGTAAATCCTAATGACTTTGGTATTTTCCTTAGTTTTCTCTTAGTGCCAATCGCAGCCCAGATATGACATTTAACATTGCCTTAACTTCAACAAGATTGATTGGACAAAATCTGGTACAGACATTTGTGGCTCCCAGGTGATGAATCCTGCTTGACTTTGGTCATCCCCTCACTTGTACTTGAGCACCACCGTACGGTTCATATTTCTGTTTATTATTTGAGTAAAATATCTTGGCAGAGCATTCGATGGGTTGTGAAAAAATCTGGCACAGTATGCCGATACCACTTTGTGATTACTTTGGCAGTCCCTTTACTTTCCATCTACCGTCAAACTTCAATTGGTTAAAAACACAGTTTATGACTTGCAAAACTAAAGACGTTTCCAGCCTTAACTGTACATTATGTTTAGTTTTAATTAGGAGTGTAATTAAGGGATACTAACGGCTACACTGGAAATCATTTGAAGTTCATTCAGCTTCATCTAGAAACACAAGTTCCCCTGCTGCTTTTGCTAATTAACTGCACTTCAGTTACGGGGTGTGAAGGTTACAGTTAAATTAAATGAACTTGAGAAAACAAGTTCAATAAACTTAAGATATCACGTTAAACCAACTTGTTACATAGACAATGGCTGTAAACAGACTAGCTTTCCTTTTACATTATACAAGTTTGAAGAGTTTCTTTAAAGTCTATGGGGATAGGGACTGTACAGAACTGTTTTGATTATTATGAACGGAAACAATTTATTTTGACAGAGACACACAGAAAGTGTACCTGTTTTCTCAAACTGTCAAGAACAGGAGTCTCTTGGGAGTTTTAACTCTCTAGCAATGCATCCTGGAAAGTCTGCTTATGTGCTAGTTTTGTTTCTCAAAAACTTAATTTAATGAATTGAGTGACTTCACAGCTGTACATTCATTCAAATCAAATCAAGTTTATTGTCATTTTGCTGTACATGCACAATCGTACAGGCAAGATGAGAGAGCGTTTCTTCAGGATCATTTAATTAGTAAGTTTTGCAGAATGCACGTCTGGGATAGGAAAGACACTAAACGTTTGCTGTCGCTGTCTCCTGAAGGGGCCGCTGCGTCCATCATACTCACTTTGTGTCAAAATAATAACTCATGTTTTTAAGTTCTAAAGAAGTCTAATAATAAACATTTTCAGCTCAATTAACTAGAAGTTAGCAAAATTCCTATATTTAAAGTAAGTAAACAAGAAAATAACTGTTTAATTTGACTAAAATTCTATGAATGATGTTTTACAGTGGGACCCTTGAACCATCCACTCGTAGACTCTCATATAATTTGACTACAATACATGCTGTACAATGGGCTATATCAAGGTAGGGAAGTACAGGTAAGTAAGCTTTACATTTAGCAGACTCTTCCTGCAGAAGCATCACTCATTTTGCCATCCTGCAGAGTCTAGGAGTCATCTCTCAGGATGTTAATTAAATGGTATCAACTCCTACTCCCATAAATCAGACCTAATTAACAAATGTTAGCATGCTAACACACTAAAGTCAGATGGTGAACATGGTAAACATCATACCTGCTGAAGATCAGTGCTCCAGTGGATTTA